GTAGCCATCGTCGAAGAAGATCAGGAACCTGGAAAACAAAGGGGAATCAGGAATGGGAGATGAGGAGAACACTTCTCACTCCACAGAATGGAAGTGCAGAACCTCTCCTGCTCCTCCTGGAGACAGCCCAGTCCTGGGTGAGGACAGAATGAAGAGCTACAAATGCTCCCTGTGCTCCCCATGGCTGCTAACAGCACAATTCCCAGCCAGGCCCTTTTCCTCTGCTCCAAATCCTCTCTGTGCTTCAGGAAAGGGAGATAAAGGAAGAGAAAATGTTTAATTGCTGCTGGTTCCTGCAGGGAAGATGGATAAGGCACACACTTAGTGCCTCTGAGTAAGGACTCAAGCCCTGGAGCTGTACAAAAGCTGCAGGATGAGGGATCAGCATCACAACCAGGAGAGAGGTTGCACTTGGAGTATCAAATTCAGCTCATTTTCAATTACTAAACACAAATCAGATAAAATCCAGCACAATTTCCATCAGATCCAGGGAAATAAAATCCTTTATCAATCACTTCAGGAAAACCACAAACCTTTATTTTAATAGATCAGAGCAGCCTAGGCCTGTTTTTATTCCTAAAAAAGCTGCTCCAAACCTGCTCCTTCTCCTCCTGAAGAGCTCTGCCACCACCAGTGCCACTCTGCCCTCACAGGGCCCCTATTTCCTCCCACTGTTTCATGCCTCAAGGAGCCCAGACTCAACATTTGGGTGATAATTTGAATAAATTAACAGATCTAATTCCTGAATCAGGGCCACGGGCAAGAGTGGAAGCTCCACCCTGAGATAAGAAAGATGAAGAAAGTCAGAATGGCTTTCCTGGGGAGGCCTCAATTCAGCACCTGAAGGGTATTCAAATAAACCCTTTTATTTTTTGGCCTAAAACAAAAACAAAGCAGAGATGGGAGTGCATGACCATGGGAAATAAGGCATACCTGTCTTTATTCTTGACATTGGGGGTCTCAGCCACGATGCCAGCATAGAGCCACATCTGATTGCCATCCTTGTACCTGGCCACCACCCTCCTGCCCACGTGGTGCCTCTCAGCAGACGGGTGGTAATCGTAGGCAATGTGGTTGCCCGAGAGCAAACTCTTTCCTTTGTTATCAAACTTCACTTTGTATTTCTTGCCAGCACCTGGAAAGACATTTTAAAGCAAACAGGAAATAAACAGAAGGGAAAATAAACAAAAGGCAAGTGGTTTCACCGTAGAATTCCAATGCTCTGAGATCATTTATTCAGAATTAATTCAGAATTAATTTCAAAGCCTTTCAGGATTTAATTTGGAGGGTGAAGCAGTGGAGGTGTGTTGCTCCTACAATCCCTTCCAGGTGACATCACGTGCTCTGACACCCTTTAATCCAGGTTTCCCACCCAAAATCCCAGGAGAGCCCACATACCCACTGGCTGGATGGCAATCAACGTCCCCTTGTGCCACGTCTTGGTTCTTTTTTTCCCCAAAATCCTCATGCCCACTTTGAGGTCCCCATCAGTGTTGAGATCATTGCTAGGGGCTGCAGGGACAGTGACAGGCTGGGCAGTGCCAGGAGGTTCCTGAGGGGGCTGTGCATCTACCAAGGAACAACAGCAGAAAGTCAGTTCTAAATCACCCAAAGCACAGCTGGAAGCACAGTTCTGGAAGAAGAATTCCTGTTTTTCTTCCTCTCAGGCAGCTCAAGTGCCTCCTTTTTACTGAATGGAAACAGCTTGGAAAAGAAGCAGGAATTCAGAACCAATCTACCCTGAATTAGAACAGCAGTTTGGGATCAATAAACATGAATGGAGATTTCCAGCAGGGAAAGCAGATCATTGTTTTTCCATTTTGGGAAGCAAGGGCACATGGCCCCTGGAAGCTCCCACACCTTTCTGTGCTTCCTGCAAGTTGGTTTTCTTGTTTACAGCATCCATGAATTTTGCAACATCCCGGGCAGATTTCCTCATGGCAGCCATTGCTTCCCTCAGCTGGAGGAAAGAGAAGGGAAACACAGAAACTTTTGGTTTTTTGCACCTAATACAACGTGGTGTCTCATAAAACCCCACATGAGGAAACATCTCTACGCAGGGCCTCCCCACTCACCAGAGTCTGATCCCTGGAGATTCTGGGACTGCTGCTGCCTGTCAGTGAAGAGAAAACAGTGGTTTAAAACCCTTTTTTTTTGTGAAAAAAATCCATCCTAATTAAATCACAGAGAGCAGAGGAAACAGGGAAAAGTGCCCATCCCAAATCTCTGCCAGGAAACCCAACCAGACAAAGCTTTTCCTCTGCCACCTCTCCCCATGTGGGATCATGGGGACAACAGTGAGGCAGGTGGGAAAAGGGTGAAATCCCACTGGGGACTCCAGGAATTCTGGGATTCCAGGAATTCTGGGACACAGACAGCGTCTGGCAGATGCTCCCCACGAGCTAAGGGCATTCCTTTGTCCCCATCCTTCCCCTGGCCCTGCTGGGGACACTGAACTGCATTTCTGGGACACAGACAGGATCTGGCAGATGCTCTCCTTGAGCTAAGGGCATCCCCTTGTCCCCAGCCCTCCCATGGCCCTGCTGGGGACACTGAACTGCATTCCTGGGACACAGACAGGGTCTGGCAGATGCTCTCCTTGAGCTAAGGACATCCCCTTGTCCCCAACCCTCCCATGGCCCTGCTGGGGACACTGAACTGCGTTTTGGGGATCCAAACAGGATCTGGCAGATTCTGTCCTTAGCTAAGTGCATTCCCCTGTCCCCACCCTGCCATGTCCCTGCTGGGGACACTGAACTGCATTTTTGGGACACAAACTGAACTGAACTGCATTTTTGGGACACAGACAGGATCTGGTAGATGCTCCCCACGAGCTAAGAGCACCCCCTTGTCCCCAGCCCTGCCCTGGCCCTGCTGGGGACACAAAGAGGATCTGACAGATGCTCCCCACGAGCTAAGAGCACCCCCCTGTCCCCAGCCCTGCCCTGGCCTGGCCCCCCAGGGACACTGAACTGCATTTTTGGGACACAGACAGGATCTGGCAGATGCTCCCCACGAGCTAAGAGCACCCCCTTGTCCCCAGCCCTGCCCTGGCCCCCCGGGGACACTGAACTGCGTTTCCAGCCCGAGTCCACGCTCATGACGTCGTCGTCCTCCTCGTCAGGGATCTCGATCACTTCCGTGGCCGCCGGTGCCTCGTCCTCCGAGCTGCTCTCCCGGTACTGCAGGCCCATCATGGAGAACAGCTCCTTGGCCAGCGTCTCGCACTTGTCCATGGCCCTGGGGGGGGAAACCAGCTGTGCCCCTGGAGCTCCACAGGGAGCTACCCCTGAACGCTGAGGGAGCGATGAGCCAGCCGAGGGAAGCGTCCTCAGGAAGGGTTTAAAGCCTTGGGGGGAAAGTTGTCAGTGTGCCTCGTTAAACAGCCACACCACGGGTCTGCCCTGAAGGAGAGGGAGCAGCCCCCCACATCCCCCTGCCCGGAACTGCAGCTCCCTCCAGGCCCACACACCTCACAGCATCGTCGATGAGCTGGTCAACGTGGGCCACCTCCTCCTCCTTGTGCCTCATGCACTGCTCCAGCTCCTCCAGCTGCTGCTTCCGCTGCCTCACCCACTCGGAATTCTCCACCTCCCTGTCGATGATCTCCCGCAGCTCCTCCATGGAGATGCCCAGCTCCTCCATCACCTCCTCCTGCAGCTCCTCCATGTCCTGGGAATCCATCTCGGCCGCACCTGAGGCCAGGGGAGGAAGGTGAGGTGATGAGGGAGAGGTTGGGGAGGGAGATCATGGGAGCTGCCTCACCCTTTCCCACCTTCCTCTGCCCCAACGTCCCCTCACAGCCCCCAGATACCCTCACAACCCCCCCAGTCCCCTCACAACCCCCCCAGTCCCCTCACAGCTCCGCCAGGTCCCCTCACAACCTCCAGGTACCCTCATAGCCCCCTCGATCCCCTCACAACCCCCCGGTACCCTCACAACCCCTCCCCTATCCCCTCACAACCCCTCCGGTTCCCTCACAGACCTGCCAGGTCCCCTCACAACCCCTCCGGTCCCCTCACAGCCCCCAGGTACCCTCACAGCCCCCTCGATCCCCTCACAACCCCTCCGGTACCCTCACAGCCATCCCGATCCCCTCACAGCCCCCCCCGCTCCCCTCATTGCCCCACACCGGGTCCCCCTCATCCCCTCCCAGCCCTGCCCGTCCATCCCACCCGCTCACAGGCCCCCACAGGCCTCCCCGTTCCCCTCAGCGCCGGCCGCCCCTCCTCACTCACCGGTGCCGCGGAACCGGAGCGGAGCCCGCCGCGTGACGTCACTTCCTGCGCGCGCCTGGCGCCCCCTGGCGGTCCGGGGTGGTGAGGGGACGGGGGAGAAATCCCCGAAATTCGGGAATAAATGAATTCCTCTGGGAATCGCGGGGTGAATCCCGCGGGAATCGGCGGTTCGGGGAGCTGCCGCGAACGGCCGGCCCGGTTTAAGTTACAAAGCAGGGATGTAGAGGCCGGGAAAGCCGCGGTTCGTTCCTGAGGCGGCCCCGGTTCGTTCCTGAGGGAGCCCCGGGACTGCCCGGGGGCGTTGGAGCCGTTACCGAACCCCCCAGAACGGTCCTTTAACCGCCACCTCGGAGGGGTTCGAGACACGGAGGGGACACGGGGGAAACGGGGAAAACGGGGGGAAATGCGAGGAGTGGGGGAAATGGGGCGAAATGGGGGAAATTGGGGAGTGGGGAGCAATGGGGAAAACAGGGAGCAATGGGGGAAATTGAGGAATGGGGAGCAATGGGAGAATGGGAGCAATGGGAGAATGGGGAAATTGGGGAGCAATGGGAGAAATGGGGAAAATCAGGAACAATGGGGGAAATGGGGAATTAATGGGGAGAATGGGGGAAATGGGAGAAATGGGGAAAATCAGGAACAATGGGGGAAATGGGGAATTAATGGGGAGAATGGGGGAAGTGGGGAATCAATGGGAGAAATGGGGGGAAAATGGGGAATCAATGGGGGGAATGGGGGAGCAATGGGAGAAATAGGGGAAATTGGGAGCAATGGGGAATGAGGGAGGGAAATGGGGCTCCTGGAGGCAGGGGGTCCCACAGAGGATGGGGGTACCGGGACCACCAGCAGCTCTGAGCTAACGGGTGCTGCTGGTGGGGCTGAGGCTCCCTGGAGCACCCTGCGGGGTTTGGGGGTCCCGGGGGGGCCATTTCGGGGTCAGTTGATGGGCTCCTCCTCCCAGGTGGAGGTGGGAATGGCGCTGTAGGGATCCACCACCAGGCGGGCGCAGCGCACGGCCATGGCCAGCAGGAAGAGCCCCAGCAGCACCACGAAGGCCGTGGCCACGGCTCTGTCCACGTCCAGGGCGGGCAGCGCCGTGGGGGGCTCCATGCAGGGACCCTCGGGGGGGTCTGGCACAGCTCCAGAGACTCAGGTGGGTCTGTCACAGCTTCAGGGACCCCCAGGTGGGTGTTCCTTGGCTCCAGGGACCCTCAGGTGTCTCTTTCCCAGCTCCAGAGATCCTCAGGTGGGTCTGTCACGGCTCCAGAGATCTTCAGGTGTGCGTTCCTTTGTTCCTGGGACCCTCAGGTGGGTTTGTCACAGCTCCAGAGACCCCCAGGTGGGTGTTCCTTGGCTCCAGGGACCCTCAGGTGGATCTGTCACAGCTCCAGAGATCTTCAGGTGGGCGTTCCTTTGTTCCAGGACCTTCAGGTGGGTCTGTCACAGCTTCAGAGACCCTCAGGGGGGTGTTCCTTGGCTCCAGGGACCACTCAGGTGTCCCTTTCCCAGCTCCAGCGACCTTCAGGTGTCCCCTTCTGGCTCCAGAGACCACTCAGGTGTCTCTTTCCCAGCCCCAGGGACCCTCAGGTGGGTGTTCCTTGGCTCCAGGGACCCTCAGGTGTGTCTGTCACGGCTCCAGGGACCCTCAGGTGGGTGTTCCTTGGTTCCAGAGACCCTCAGGTGTGTCTGTCACAGCTCCAGAGACTCTCAGGTGTCCCTTTCCCAGCTCCAGGGACCCTCAGGTGGGTGTTCCTTGGTTCCAGGGACCCTCAGGTGTCTCTTCCTGGCTCCAGGGACCCTCAGGTGTCTCTTTCCCAGCTCCAGGGACCCTCAGGTGTCTCCCAGCTCCAGGGACCCTCAGGTGTCTCCTCCCAGCTCCAGAGGCTCCTCAGGTGCCTCTCCCAGCCCCAGGGATCCTCCAGCACGTGTCCCCCAGCACTCAACTCCCAATGACATCCCTGAGGGGCCAGATCAGGGGCGAATTCATGGGGCTGAGGGGTCAAAACCACCCCAAAAAAAAGGTGGGAAATGTGTCTTTGAGTGCCCTCTGCTCCTTCCTTACCTTCGTGGTGTCAGTGCCGGCTCCAGCCCTTCATGAATTCTGCAGGAATGCGCCGGCATCGCTTTTCACACACAGCCCAGAGGATCAGATTCCCACCCCACACCCCCTGCTCCCAAGGCTCTGGGTCCCTTCACGGGTCTTCCTGGTGATTTGGGAAGCATTTGGGAGGATTTATCCCCAAAATCTAAAAGGCTTGCATGTGAGAGGATTTCAAGGTAGTTTTTTACTTTTATTGAAATAGACTGGGAAAAACTCTTGGAAAATGCATTGAACTGAGCTGCCCTTTTGGATCTTGCAAGACAGCTTCATGAAAACCCCAGAACACCCAAAATATGCCCAAAATCTCCTTCAAGTTTATTTATTTTCCCCCTCTGAGAGAAAAAATTATCGCTTTGGGAAGGCAGTGAAGCTCTGACACCCCCAGAGCTGGGCTGTGGGGGTGTTGCAGAGATTTTTCAGCAGAGGATGAGGTGTGGGGTCCTGCTGGGGGCCCCAAATCCCAGTCCTGACCAAAAAAAAAAAAATAAAAATAAAGAAATTTCCAATTCCAATCCCAGTTCTGACCCAAATCACGTGTGCAGTCTGGATCCGCATCTTCATTCCCTGGGGTGCAGAAGCCCAACCTCACCTCAGTCTCAACGCCGAGATTAATTTTAATTTTTAATTTTTATCCTAATTAATATTTTAATCTTAATTCAAATCCTAATGTTGCGTGACGTCATCAACACTCCCGCTATAGCCACGCCCTCTCGAAGAAGTCCCGCCTCCTTTTTCGGTGGGGGCGGGGCGAAGGCGGCTGTGCTCCGCCCCCAGCCGTGCCCTCCGTTTATCCCCGCCCCCCAGCCCTCCATTTGGACCAATAGCAGCGCCTCCTCTCCGCCTGTCCCTCCTCCCGCCCCCCGGTTGAACCAATAGGAGCCCGCCGTGCCGCTGGCCCCGCCCCCTGGCCGGCGGGGCTGTGGGGCCGGCGGAGGTTTTCCTGCGCCGCCATCTTGGCTCGGCGGAGCGGAGCGAGCGGCCCGGGACCCCCGCCATGGCCGCCACCGCCGCCAGCGCGGGTGAGCCGGGCCGCGGCGGCACAAGCGGGGCTGGGGAGCGGCCTGAGCGCCTCAGGGAGGCCCTGGGGGGCTGAGGGGGAGCACAGCGGGCTTGAGGGGGGCCTGAGAGGACCCAAAGGCTCTGGCGGGGCCTGGGAGGGTGAGGTCGACCCTCAGGGGCGGGGGTGTCGTGAGGGGCTCTGAGGGGCTGACAGGGGCGTGAGGGGGCTCTGCACGGGGGGAATGGCACAGGGGGATGGGAGCTGTGTTCCCTGGGTTTGGGGTCCCCGGGGAGCCCCCCACGAGGGACCCTCCAGGTGGGTCTGGGCTTGCCGTCATCACTCGTCTGGATTTGTTCTTGACGCCTTCTGTGGGTTTTAGCCCCTTTCTCAGCTGTGTTGGGCTGAGGTTTTCCTTGACTCCCAGCAAGTCTGTTTGAAGGTTTTGCACAGAAGTCCCTGTGGAGCAGGGGAGGGCCTGGAGCGCGAGCTTCGGTTCCTCAGGCTGCTCCCCAGAGTCCTCACCTCCCCTGCACAGGAAGCTGGGAGCTGCTGAGCCCTGATTCCTGCCAGAAAAATACCTGATTTTATCAATTTTCTGGCTAAACTGCTCTGCACTGAGCTCATATCCAGATTAACCCAGCGTCTGTGAAGCCGTGATGGATTTACAACGTGGTGGCTGAGATCAGAATCTGAGCTTGTTTGTGTTTTTGGGGTTTTTTTTAATCTTAGCTTGTGCTTTGTGGCTCCTCTTGTGGCTTGAGGGTCGTGAGGCACGCTCAGGTTTATCCAGGAGTGTTCAGTGACACTGCTGAAGGATTCTGGGGTTTTATTTTGATGGTTTTGTGGCTTTTGGTGGTGAAAAAACACACTGGGGACTCATCTGGTTTGGGAGGGGGGAAGACACTCGTGGGTGCCCAAGCATTTGTGGAAGTGGAGTCTTCAGGGTTCCGTGGTTTTTTGCATAAGAAAGTTTTAAATTCTGAAAGAAAAGAGAAGGAATTTTCAACATCTGTGTTTAATATTTATAATCATGGGCAGAGCAGCCAGCTTTTACACAGAGGGAGGGAAATACACAAACAGTAAACATGGAGATTATGATGAGATTAAATTCTGGAGAATTCTCACAAATAATGTGGGTCTTCTTTTCCTTAAAGTGTTAAAAAACGGATTTCAGGGCTCCAGTGAATGCTGGATAACGCCCCAAAATACCCAGAATGTCTTCATTTCAACCCCTTAGCAATGGAAGAAACATTCTTTTCTTAATTTCTATACTTCTTCTTGGAGAAAGTTCCCATGGGGATGAAAGTGCTGAGCTGGCATTGCATGGGAAACAAGCTGAAAACCTCCTGCTTACTTAAAAAAAAAAATCAATTTAATGTACCCCAGACACAGAAATTGAGATGTTTTGTAAATAAAAAACCATAAAAGCAGAAATATCAAAGCCTTCTAGTTGTGAGTGAAACGCAGGGTACTTTTAAGGTTGGTTTATCTGCTCCTGACATTTTGGGGAGCTCACAAATGGGTGAATTTAAAGCAAATCTTGTGAAATTTGATGTCCAAACGTGAACCTGGCAATTAACCCCCCACCGAAGCTTCTGCAGCAAAAAGCACCAGTTTTGTACAATGAAAATGTACATTGAAGCTGCAGCAGCCCCTTTTGTAAATCCCAGCTGGGAATATTTGCAGTAATTTTGTTTTGGAGCCTTTGGGATGCCAGTGGTTGCAGCAGAGCCTTTCCCAGGGGAGCTGGGCTGGGAGCCTGGAGCACTGCTGGGGGTTGGGGTTTACATTTGCTTTTTTCTGGCCTTAATTAGCTGCAGCTCATGGTGTGGGGAAGCAGGGATTGCTTCTGGGAAGGCACACAGACTTTAGAGCCCCAACCTCACCCCAGTCTCAAACCCAAACCTTAATTTTAATTTTAATATCAATTCCAGTCCCAGTGTTACCTGTTCCAGCCAGGATGTTGGAAACCCACCTGGGACTCTGGTCTGGACACCTCCAGGGATGGTGACTCCAGAGCAGCCCTTTGTGGGGAGGAATTTCCCTCACAGCCACCCTAAAGCTGCCCTGGTGCAGCTCGGGGCTGTTTCCTCTCGTGCTGGTGTTCCCTGGGAGCAGAGCCTGGCTCCAGCCTCCTCCCAGGAGTGAAAACTCCTCCCTGTGCTCCAGGAATTCACCTCGCTGTGGAATGGGGAGAAGACAGAACTTGGGAAGGAATCTTTGTGTTCTGTGTGTTTCCTGGCAATCCCAAAGGGTGAAAAAGCCAGAGCTTTTCCCCTTCTCGTTATTTCTGATCATTCTTCAGAATTTATTCTTCTAATAATCTCCATGTTTGCTGCCTGTGTGTTTCCCTCCCTCTGCTCTCCCTGCCCGTGCTGTCCCTGGTTTTGGGGGGCTGTGGCCCCTCTGCTCCTGCAGAGCAGTGCCAGCTCCTGGTGCCCAACCTCGGGCTCTGCCCTGAGCTTCCACCTGAGCCACGAGAGGGAGATGTTCCTCATGGGATGCATTTTGGGCTCCTGGGAGATCTCAGAGGTTTGAAAAGCAATTCCTGTGTCTGCCTCCTCAGCCCTGCCTGGAGAACAGCACAGTGTCACTTCCTTCCCCTGCCCAGGGAGGAAATTCCTTCCCCTCAGGAAAGGGATTCTCCTCTGTGCTCCAGAAACTTCATTTCTGTTCCCACCATGTTCAGATAGGGCTGGGGAAAAGGAGGAACCCTCCTGGCCTGCTTTATTCCCACTTGAAACTTCATTTTGTCAAACAGAATCCTTGGATGTCACCTTGGGACTTCACAGCAGCATCTGAGTGATCCAAAATCCAGCAGAAAGGAGATGGGGAAGGGTTTCCACCTCTGGTTTTTTGTTCTCCAGATGTATTTTTGAGTTGCAGAGGTGTTGGATGGGCTGTGCTCACTCCTGCTCTTGGTTGGAGTTGTTGTTTTTGGCTCTTTCCTCGAGCTGGATGCTTATTCCATACTGTAGTCACCCCTGGGAAATACTATGGATCTGCAAGGAAAAAGCTTCCTCAGCAACACCAGCTGCTTGGAGGAAAACAAACCAGGCAGGCAGAGAGGCTGGGAATGTTATTGTGATAAAATATATTTAAATTCTGGCAGAAATACCAGAAATTTGGGAACGTGTTTGCTCTGAGATCCAGGCACACCACGGAGGTGATTGCACAGCTCCACTTTTAGCTGTAAATAAACCAATATGCAGCTCTGGGAGTGAAATTAAACTGTTGTTGGACTGAAATCTGGCTTTGTGCAGTGGAGAAGAGCTTGGGAACCCCAGCTTAAAGCCCATTTTTTCCCTAATTCATTAATCCTGACCTCAGTTCTTCACTTTGTCCCCCAAGTTGTGGCTGTTTCCTGCACAGGCTGCTCTCAGGGTGGGTTGGGAAACCCAACACTGGCGTTTTTGGGGTATCTGGGTAGATTTGGGGTCCCTTAGCTTTGATAAAGCAGAAGTGGTTTGGGACCTGCATCAGGCTCAGTTTGCAAAGGTTGTGGTGGAGGTTTTTGGGTTGGAGCAACTGTTTTGGGGCAGTTTTGCAGCACCCACAACCATTAAAATATGCACAGAGCTGACTTATTTCAGCAAAACAGGAAAAAATGGTTTAAAATGGATTTAAAAATTCACTTTCTGATGTGGAACTGACTGAATGTAGAGGAGCATTGCTTGGGCTCTGATGGTGATGCTGGGATGTAGATTCAGCATAAGCCACACTGAGCAAGCTC